TGAATGTGTTCTGTGGAATGCATATGCGTGAGCAAGTTTGGGACTTGGTTAGTTTTCTTCGGGCAAAGTTACAGAAAATTTTGCGATTTTTTGGCACCCAGAATTTCTTAAATTTTGGCTTCTAGCTCGTGATGTGTTGAAGCTAGTGCAAACGCTTACACGCCATCTTATAGCTTGCTTTGCTTTATCGAATGGTACCCTGCATTATAATCAGAATAGAGAAGTATGTGAGTTATTGCTTCAGAAAGTTGAAATTGAAAAAACTTTTGAGACAACCTAATACTAAAGACGCTTCCTTATCCTTGATTTTGTGACTTACCGTTATCCAATTTGAAGAGACAGACTCAAACATCAGCGTTCATTTTATCGGTGACTAGCTCGCTTACCCGACTTCGCCCGGTTTTGTCAAAACACGATAAAGGTTTCATTCCTATCCCTGTACAACCTTTCCCTATGCCCACTTCTAATGCCAATTTCCTATTCCAGCTGTATCAGTAATCAGCATGCTCACTTACCCTCCTGTGCCTCCCAGTCCCGTAGCTCAAACTTTGCAAAAAATCGATAAAATTGAAGGAAGTAAAGACAATTCTAAAACTAACATCAATTCTAAAACTAATATTCTAAACTAGTATCTACTCGCAATAGCTGGCTTACCCGGCTCCGCCCGGCCCTGTCAAAGCACTATGGCAAAGCTCCCATCCCTATCCTTGTATAACCTTTCCCTGTGCCCATTTCTACATACCAAATCCAACTCCCTATTCGCGCTGTGTTAGTTATCAGCATGCTCACTTATCCCTGCGCGAATTACAAATAATAGTCGTTGAAATCGATAAAACTAATGGAAAATTCCAATTACTAATATTGAGAAACGTTGCCCAGGTGAACAAACACGGATGCGGCTGGATCCTGCAAGTTTGGAAAAGCCTGCACTTTGGCTTGGAAACTCCGAGTACGGAACTTTGGAGAGCGCTGGAAAATTTTTTTGTCGCCACTTATCATATTTCTCTCCGACCTCCACTTTCCCAAAGCCGGGCAAATTGCTATTTACATCCTCTTCCAGTTTTTTTAAACAGAGGATTTTGGATTCTTTACTGTTGAAAGATTTCTAGCCGTCGTTTACACTTTCAAAACCAAATACAAAATCCAGGAACCCACTCCCTTGCTTCTGAGATCCTTTTTCGAGAACGTCAATTGTCAGCTATTTGAAAATTTTGCCAAAACTCTACAACCCGCTTTTCTTTTCTGTGGACCTTAGCCTGACCGGCTCCCTTTTGTTTGACCCGAAGTGGTCCAAAACCCACTACGCTACAGGTAATAACCGAGAGCTTTGATGAGAAAACTCACATTTACAACTGCTGCTGGACTGCACAACGGAGCGAAAGTTTTGGCATGATCTCTGTCCCAAGAATTCCAAGTAAAAGGGAATGTTACTGTTACAAATTCCAAAATAAGAACTCACGTGGATATTTACTTAATCTGATAGCCGATATAAACTTCGGAAGATTGTGAGCATTCTTTGCATTGCTCAATGCACGAAAGTACTTATTAGTTTGTTAGCTATTCTCATATCAGTGCTCAGATTTGTTACAATCACATTTTTCTGAATCTTCAAGCGGAACCATTCAGGAAACATTTCTGAAACAGCCTTCCTTCGGATCTCAATTTTCCATAACCTGGTTGTTCTGATTCGGAACCATAATTCAAAAATTCGACAGCTTTGGAAAACACTGAAGATGTATTTAAAAAAGCAAGCGACGATATCACATATTGGGTAGCATTGCAAAAGGAGAGCGGATAAGATAACATGAGTTTTTGGGATCCATCCTTCACCTCTAGTAGTGTTACGAGTAAATTACAGACTGCACTTAACAAAGCTTAAACATTTTGAAAGGGGTTTTTACATTTTTGGTCGTGGTGAAACCAAAAGGACAAGTGTCCTTGCGTAACAACTGTCCTTGCGTAATAACGTAACAGTTAAATGGAATCCCTCCAGAAAGAAAGAAATTATGAAGATCGAGAAAGTTCAACATATTTTTACGAATGGTCTGTTCTTGTATGTCACAAGATATGCAAGAAAAGCCCATTCCTGATTATAGTGAGCGCTTGAATCTTTTTGGTTTAAAATCATTGAAACGCAGAAGGATTATTGTTGCAGACTTAGTTTTTTGTTTTGCGATTCTTCGGCGAGAGATTGACCTTCCTGCCAGCAACTTTTGGATTTTTAGACCCGCTAGTTGCAGAGTGGGGGGTTTCAAACTTGACTACCCCAGATTGAGAAAATGCTGCTATTCTGGGCTTTTCAATTTTATATTCTATCGCTGTGCTCTCTTTTTTAGAAGACTGCCTGCTATATTGTTGTCGGCTAAAAGTAGTTGGGCTTTCAAAAAAAATTTCACAGAAGTCAGAAATCCTAAAGTCGGTTGAGAGTGATTCGTACTTATGTTGACTTTTTTGTGTTTATCTGATTCAGGTAGAAACCACTTTCCTGTTCGACGACGAGATCTTCATCTTATGGGTTTTCTTTTGCTTTTCCCTGTTGTGTTCGTTTCTGTGTTGTTCTTTTTCAGGTATGGTTGTCGAGTGCTCTTTGTCGCGTATGTTGTGCGGGATTAATTATGGCTTACGCTTTACGTTCTTTTCTCCGTCTGCGTTTCAAGTGGGGTTCTCAGTCCAAATATGTGCCATCAATTTTTCTGTGGGGCTATTCTACTGTATACTAGGGCATTCGTCAGATGACTTCTACTTTCTTTTCTTCTTCTTCGCTATGCTTGTGTCTCCTACTAACTCCAATTTCTATCACGTAGCTCAAGCGCAGTCTACTTTTTTGACCTCGTATTTGTGCGGGTGTAGCTTGCAGACGTGGAAGCTTGCCAATGTCAACATTGGCATTTTTTTCTTCGGAGTTTAGAACCCTCCCCGGCAAACTGTGTTGGGCGGGGCTTGCCAGTATACCCGCTAGCCGAACTTCCGGTTTGCTTTTATGAATCATTAAGATCGTTCCTTGCTGGCAAACGAGGGGGCATGGGTTCTTCTCCACTGAGCCTTACGTGTCAGGTTTTTATCAAACTAATAACTTATTTCTGCTAGCTTATCCCGACACAATCTTTCTTAAGAAGATGATTAGACTGACTTGGGACGACGTGATGTTATGTTTGTTCGAGTTTTGATAGCGGCAAAGTATCAAAGTTCACTCTGCAGATAGACATCCATCCAAGAGGCGATGAGTCAGAGGGGTGCTTGCGCTTTATTTAGAGCATGTAGCACATGCGTCCTAATAGCTCGCCTTCCAGAAGAATTTCTATCTCTATCTTCACTTTGTATTTATTATGCAATTGAGTAATGAACAGACGTAAAGAGGCTTTGCCCAATAAACAGCATTGATAATTTGCGATTTGCCTTTCATGAATTTCTGTAGCCAAACATTTTCAGAAAATAGTAACTTCTTTGTTACGACAATCCTGCACGACAAAAACAACATTAGGTAGGGCAAAGCGCATACTTTCTAGCATCACCTTAACTCATCTATTAAGCTTTGAATGCAGAGATAAAACTGGGAAAAGGACATCACTTTAATTTCGAATTTTGAAACACGCCGTTTAAAAATGCAAAACTGTGCCATAAAATCCAAAACAGCCAGTAATATAGGTTTTCTGATCCCATCTTTCTATACGAGGAAATTCGCGCTCATCGAGCTCTTCTCTGAAAAGTTGCGATTTTCGCGAAAAAATGCCAAAAAAAATCAGTTTCTTAAGAAAATTGATTTCTTAACATTTTTTTCTTCAAAAAATCATAACTTTTAAAGGAAAAGCTCGATCAGCGCGAATTTTGCTCAGCTAGAAAGAAGTGGTCAAAAAATCTAGGAAACTGGCTCTTTTGGATCATATGGCACAGTTGGAATTTTTAACGGCCTTGCCTCGGAATTCCGAAATTGAAGTAATTTCCTTTTTCTAATTTTAGCTCTGCACTCAAAGCTTAAAAGGGAAACATGTGTAATCGAAGTGGGCTTTCAGGACGAGACCCATACTGCTTTGAAGAGCATTATGCGGATTTCAAACCTGCCTTCCAAATCTGCCAAGCGCCTCTGGACGCCGAGTTGTGGGTGTTTTTTCAGGTCAAAAAATTGAACGTAAAACTGGGAGAAATTTGCCCAAATTTGCTCAAAGTGGTCCAATGTTGAGTATCAGAGCCCTTTATGCAATGGATACATTTCATCTAATATGCTAACACTTAACATTGCCTTATCTAAGCGCTGTAAAGATTGTAATACAATTACCCGAATTCTGCATTCATTTTTCGTTCCATAAACGGTCATAACTCGGCGTCAAGAGGCTCTTGGCAGATTTGGAAGACAAATTTGAAATCACCGTGCAATACTCTTCAAAGAGTATGGGTTTCATCCAAAAAGGCCACCTCGACTAAACACGCTTCCCTTGTAAGTAGAAACAATTAAGGTGCCCTTAGAAAGTACACCCTTGGCCCTACTAATATTCTTTTTGTCATGCAAGATTATCACAAGCAAATGAAGTTACGATTTCCGAAACTGGTAAAGACGAACTTTGGGTTTAACCTGATATATTTCACTTGTACTCGCAAAGATCGATTTCTTAGCAATCTGTAGTTGATTCGATCATTCTGGTCAAACAAATGTTCAAACAAAAATCATGTGTGTAAGTACCAGCTCATTTTTTCAGCAAATTGAATTGGTTCTCTGGGACATAACGTGAAATGATTTAGTCAGTAAGTATTGTGGAGTTTTTGCAATAAAGCTGCACTATATCTACGAATATGCTCGGCTGTAATTAAGAGTTTCTTGTAAAAATAAAAGATTTCTCTAGCGCATCGTCAACAAAAATTGGCCGATTTGTCACTGGTCTCTAGGTGGACATCTATTGGTTTGGAGATGAAAGAAAGATTGGTGTGTTCAATTTTTTAGATAATGGACAACATCTCAGCACATTTTTCAGATTTCTTGCAGACTTTTACAGCTTCTGACTGCATGTATGATACTATTCATAGTGTACAATCACGTCGGCTTTTCACCGGCAGAAATTCTTATAGACGTAAGACAGTGCTTCTTCCTGGGCAAAATTAACCTAAGCTAGAATTGCAGCAGTCGCCAGCTCACCTTAAAAATGGCTGCATCTGCAATCATAAGAATGTAACATACAATTTCTGTTACCAATTACCTTCAAATCGGCTAATCAAAGGAAAGCGTTTCAATTGCAATTTTTCTTCATACCTTGAAGAGTTTGGTAAGTGTGGTGAGCTTACCTCGTAAAGTATTTGTAAAAATGATCTTCAGGGATCTTGTCCTCATCCAATATCATTGACTTGGAAACTAAGGAGATGCCTATGCCCGCGTTCGTGACTGCCATGTCTGAAAATCACTATGCAGAAGGGCTCACCTTGGTACGATTTGTTTGCATTAGCTGTGCTAAGAACTGGCGAGGAGAATAATTGACCACAACCTCCAAAATGAGTTATTTATCGAATCAATGAAACACTGACATCAAAGCTTTTTTTCGATGAAGCACTTATTCTAGAAAAATTTTCTTCAAAGGCAGTGTCCGGGAAGAACTGGATTTTGAGATATTGTGCTTACCCGGGCCTATTCGCTATGCTGAATCCGAAAATCCACATTGGAAAGCGCGAAAACGACGAAAAAGGGCTCTAACACTGGAGGGGAATCAGCAAGTGGGCGGGGTCTTCCCCACTGTGGATTCACGCTTCCAGCTTCCAGAACAATTTTCTCGAATCCGTTAGCCGCCCTGAGATCATTACCGATCAAGTGCAAACGAATGACTTGAGACCGGAATCAAAAAGATCGCCCCCGAAGCTGGGAGCGTGAATTCACAGTGGGGAAGACCCCGCCCACTTGCTGATTTCCCTCCACTGTTAGAACCCTTTTCGTCGTTTTCGCGCTCTCCGATGTGGATTTTCGGATTTAGCATAGCGAATAGGCCCGGGTAAGCACAACATCTCAAAATCCAGTTCTTGCCCGGACACTGCCTTTGAATAAACACAAGCAAGTAACCATCACTTACTGCCTAACCATAGCACTCAGCACTAGACCACCAACAGCATCTATCGATATTTCAATCTCATACAAAGCATGATTTTGAGGAGAATACCGTCCATACCTAGGAATTGCTTCGCAGACAGAATATTATTGAAGACCAATGCTTTTAGAGCAAAAGCCTTAACATATAGGGTGTGATAGTACACATCTGATCGTTATTATCTCTCTCTCCCTCCAATCTTTTTCCGAGCTTCAAGTCAATTAGTAGAGCTCGAGCTTCAAGTCAATTAGTAGAGCTGACGTATTTAGGGCCAAAGTACTATATAACAAATCATCGACCACCCTTCATTGCTGTAGGATCACGGTGAATATCTTTACCGCTTGAACATCGAAAGTCAAACTGCTTCAGAAAGAAAGCTAAAAAAGCTAAAAACCCTCTTATTAGGCCAATCAGAGTTGCTGCTTTTATCATGAAGTCCTCAATCTACCGCTAGGCTTCTTTTACAAGTTGCTAATGTACAGTAATTAAAGGAGCTAGATTGCATTTGCGTGCTTCGGGACCGCACCGCGGTTTCCCGCCATTTGAAGATTTTTGAATTGCGCTAAAGATCTTATATATAAAACTGAATGTCTGTTTGTATGTCTGTCTGTCTGTTTGTATGTATGTATGTATGTATGTATGTATGTATGTATGTATGTATGTGTGTACTTATGCTCCGAATAGAAAATTTTATTTCTGAACCGAACCGGACCAAACCTGGCACACATACACTTCGGGCCCCGGCGGGTGTCATGAGCTACTTTTCGTCATCGATCCATATCGATTTTACCGATTTTTATCGATTTTTTGCAGAGTTCACCTACGGGGCTGAGAGTTGCCACAGGGGGGGGGGTAAGTGAGCATGGGGATCCCTACAATATTTGTTTTCAGTATTATCGATTACTTTTATCAATTTTATCGATTTTTTGCAAAGTTTGAGCTACGGGGTTGGGGGGTTGGTGAGGAAGGTAGGTGAGCATACTGATTACTAACATAGCGGGAGTAGGGAATTGCACGTAGAAAGTGGGCACAGGTAAAGATGTATAGGGATAGAAATGGAACCTTCATCGTTTCTGACAGGGCCGGGGGGAGCCGCTCAGATAATCGCCGGGAGCGGGCGGTCCGCAAACTCGCGCTTTTCCGCAAGCGGTTAACAGAATTTAGGGGCGTGTCCAAACCATCAGTTGGCAGCACTTCCTTTACTGTCGCATATTCTGCCAGCGGGCAGCAATACAGCATTTTTTGCAAGCGCTCAGCAAATATTAGGTTGTCTCAAAAGTAAACTCCTTTTTTAAATAATTCAAGCTGCTTTTGTTTTCCTAGTGAGCTTAGAAAAACATTCGATAGAGCAGATCAAGCTCTACAAATTACCCGCCAAGAATCCGCCTAATTTGCATTCCATGGAAAGTTTGAAGCCAAAATCGAAAAAAATCTTGGCACCCGAGAATTGGATTTCTGCAACAAAGAATCCTACGGACCTCCAACTTGGTCATTGTACAGTAGGCACATAGTAATACTCAAATATACATTTACCGAATTTTCTCCGAGCATAGAAATCGATAGATAAAAATTGTCCAAAAAGGCAAACTTCGCCCCCAGCCCCTCCTACATATGTCATTGTATACTGCAAGCCTTACTAAGTATGATTCCAAAACCTTACCTATGTATGTGCTCTCATAATTAAGAAATACCGAGTTTTACATAAAAAATCTGGAAAAAGTGGCATTTTGGCACTTTGGACCACCTTTTTTTTCTCAATTTTGAGTCCCTAAAAAATCCGCCAAATACATTTTTGAGTACTACTATGTGTATACTATATAAAGACCAAGTTCGAAGTTCGTGGAAAATCTCTGAAAGGAGATTCGATTTTTAGGGTAGCTGAAAAATTTCGAATTTTGGCACCAAATTTTACCTGGATTACGAATTAGGTGGATCTTCAGTGATCCTTTTGTAGAGCTTGCTCCGCTCTATCGAATGGTACCCTAGATCTAGCAGAAAAACAAAAACAGCTCAGTTTAATTACAAATGGAGTTTACTTTTGGGACAACCTAATAGTTTTTTTAGTTTCTTTTTTTAAAAGCTGGCCAGACTTTGAGCAAGCGCTCGGACTCTTTTTAAGCAGTTTCGGGCATACGCCGAGCACATGTAAGACTCTGCGTGGCAGAGGTGTCACCGTTGGTTTGATTACTTAAGCTTGAGGTACTTTCTCTCAGTGGAAAGTACCTGAGGGCTGCGCGGTCCTCCATAAAGAACCATGCGGCCCTCGAAAATTTTGCCTATTCTCATGGAAAGTCCGCGAGAATGCGGCCATTGCGCCGCAGCTACAGGGAAACCGCGATTGTCCTCCAAGCATTTGCCCGAAATTTTCGCTCAAAATCTTCCAAATATCTGCAAGCGGACCGCAAGAAATCAGCGAACTATTTTTGCGGTGCCCGCCCGCCCATAAATCGCATAGCCGCCTGCCCCCGGTGATTATCTGAGTGTGCGCGCAACCAAAGGCCTTTTCATGTTCATATTTACTCAGCCAAACAGAAAGATAAATGAAAAACAAAAGAAATACTAACAACAGGATGAAGTGAAAGTAAAGAACAAAAAAACACTAATAAAGAAAACAACGAAGCGATGTTTAGAGACTAACATAACACGTGACTGAAGGTGCTCAAACAAATGCGAATAAAATAAGTGCGATAAGGTGAGAATGATTCCTTCAGGGTGAAGGGGTTCATAGTAATCCCAGTCTCTTGCGGTGAAGGGTTTTTCAAGTAATCAGAAAATATATAAAGTTGATCGGTTTAGCGACGGCTCTATGTACATTTTTTGAACATTAAACGAGTCTATAAGCAAATGCTTCAAACACGACGTGAAAAGAGCAGCTACCCTCCATCAGGGCAGTTTCCTTGACCATCACAACGATAAATGCAATAATCATTTGGATGGTGAGGGTAACGTCGTTTATAAAAGAAGGCTTGCGCCAAGTTTTGGTGATGACCACGCAAAATGGATGGTTATTGAGGAATAATTTCAAATTGGTAATCTTTTCTATAGCAGTGCGGCATTAAATAACAGATGGCGATCTGATGATGGAAGAAGAGCCATGTGGGCAAGCCATGGTACCCACAACCAGCGATCCAGTTGATTTAATTTCCCATGGTCGATGCTAGATGCTCGGGCCCTTGATTGACTTCGACTGTTAAGAGATGCTTGATAAGACAAGACTAAATAAGAGTCGTTACTGGACGAATGGTTACCTGACAGCAATTTGAGGAACGGCAAGGTAGAAATACTTACCGGGCTTGACCGTGCACGCGGATTTTTGAGCTTGTGGTGACGTAAATATCGCACTACGTACAAAAGGCTTCTTCTTGACGATTGTGGAGTCCGGCTTTTTTTCGCGAAGTCCTATCAATCTCAAGCTTTAACGGGTGTAGTCCTCTCCGACTGCGGTAAGCGACAGCCCTATGAAAAAGACAGGTAAGAAGCGGTGAAGGGTCAAAGGGGGTTTCCTACGAAATTTTCACAATCAAAAGGATCTTAATTTTGAATTCGCTCCGCCAGCTCATGCTCATTCATACTCACTACTAACAGCCATATATACACTGCTTTGTTAGGCCTTTATATGGGGGAGGGCTCATGACTTTTTCCACAGGAACGCTCTGCAAATATCGTAGATTTGAAAACAGCGGTATAAGAGCTACGTGTCCATCTGTGTTTCCCCATATGGCCGCTTCGACTAAGGACCGTATGCACGTACATCCCCGCTGGGGAGGGGAGGGGATCTGAGAGGGTATGCTTCATATCTCGCTATTCTAGATATCTTTCTTCTTCCTTCTCTATCGTGCTTATTAAGGTTCTCATACCCTAATACCTGCTCATAATTGATGCCAGGTTTTACCGGCATAGATGATTAGGTTTTCACTATTGTTTCAGTGCCATATATCTTCCTGAAAACTCAATGAAAACGCTGTAAAATTGTACTGCAGATATACTAAGGCGCTGCTAAAGATGTTAATAGAAGTAAGTGAAATCACAAGATATCGAAATCTTCGGTAATCCTTAGCTCTCGAGCTAGGGACCATCAAAAATTTCACAAACTTCAGCTTCCGTTTTTCCTGTCGTAAACATACTTAGTACTTACTTAGATACTTAGATGGCCCGTCCTCACATGACGTGCGAGCCCCAGTACAGAAGTAGCCATTGATCCTTTCCCTCGCTTCGGACATCCACGATCTTCTTGGTCGTCGTCGGTGGCTGCGTCCACGAGTTCCAGGGGCGAGAATCGTATCCAGCTGATTTCTCAGCTGGTCCATCCGTTCCACGAACACGTCTGCCCATCTCGTCGGTGGTCTTCCTCGAGGACGTTTGGCTTCGCGAGGATCCACTCAGATGTTCTTAGTGTCC